TTCCAAAAGGTCATTTATAAGGGATCTAGTAGTTTGATGTTAAGTACAGTCTGTTTTCAGGGCTCATCCAGCAGCTCATAAAACTGTGCTGCATTGGAATATGGCAGAGAGATTTTGTTTAATTTTGTTTAATCATCATGTGTCTATTTGTACCTCAACCACTCTGGATTGCAAGTGTGTTAGCGAAGAAAGCACTGAGGGAGCCTAAATGTTGGTGAAGGATATCTGTGTGTACAGTGAAAGGGAAGTCAATATCAAACATATGTGAAGAAATTGAAAATATGCCGTTAAGGGTAATTAAATTCTTTAACGATTTCAGTTTCACATATCTGGATTTCTTATTATTGGTCACTTTCATCGATGCCCCAGTGAAGATTTGCCAGGTAGAAGACCAACTTGAGTCATTATGCGATAATTTTACAAATATGGTTTAAGGTACTAATCAGGATATCTGTGTGTACAGTGTCTTTTACTATATGAATATTCTTTGCAAACATCTTTGCTTTATCCTGCTAGGTTAGGTACTTGTAATCCATTCAAAGGTGTGGATGGGAAGCATTCTGAAAAAAGTCTCTGGCTGCTGGCATTTAGCTACCACAACGTGTTATCCCCTATGCAGCACAGTACACTTCACAGTTCGTGATGGTGGGAGCGTCAGGGGTCGAGTTGTCAAGTGCCAATATAACGAGGTCCGAGCTTTTTTTGGTGTGATAGGGAAATCTCATGACTCTTCAGACATTTTATGGGTACTGCAGTTGCTTTCACAATGTATATATATATTTCTCAAATGTTTGTATTGTGCTATTGGGTTGGCTTATTATGTGACCTTAAGTGATATATTAAATGTAATTGTTTTTATTCTCTGACCCCTAGAGAGGCGTTTTCACCAGTGCTTCGAGAAATAGGTGTAACGAGGATGAACATCACAAGTCGTCGATTCTCTCTACGGTGAATGACTTTTTCATGCTGTAAATTTCTTTTGTATAGTAATACATCAGTGAATATAAATGCACTTCTAGCACGTGCATATGTACAACAGATAATTTCCGATAATTGTCAAATGACATTGTCACCTGTGTCAGGATATGCAGCATGTTTAAGATGTTTTAGGAATTAAGTTATATTTCTATCAAATTATAAACACAAACATAAAAACATGCAACCTTCTTGTCAGATGAAAAGTTAAGATACAGTTGTGATTCCTTGAGAAGTGAATTTTCTCTGATTATGATTAATTCAGTCAAAATAGGTCCAAAACACAAGTATTGCAAGAAACTTATTTTGTCACTTTGCTTTTGTATAAAGTTCCCTTTAAAAAATATTGACAGACCCAAGTATGGGTGGAAAATTTGTTTAACTGAGAAAATATCAAAAGGATGGCTTAAATGCATGGGTATTTAACAGTAATTACACTTCCCATGCACCCTGATGTAATAAATGTAATGATTAAAATTTCCCTTAATTTTGAATGACACTTCACTGCAATATGGTCAAGTTTAAAAAAATTGTATATATATATATATATATATATATATATATATATATATATATATATATATATATATATATATATATTTAAATCTAGGGTTTTCCAATTCACATCCTTTTTAGTCTTGCCTAAAGAAGGTCTTAGAGATGGCATAACTCAGTGGCCGAGTGCTGTTTTCACAATCAGAACTTCGAGCCCAGTCAGCCCTTCTCAGTTAATTCAGCTGCTGACTCATGCTGACGTGAGCTTCCTGAGGTCATAGTCAAGATGTTAAGGAACTATCTATCCTACTGCATCTAGCCGCTTAGTATGCATGTACCTCGACGAACATGGCTCCTATATTAGCTATGGGACTGACTCTGAAAGGTCTCAAAATTACTTCTCTGAAGATAGATTGTGTAGTTGTTTTGTTTTAAAGTAAAAAAATGTTAAAAGCAAGGCAGATCTATGGGAAAATGAACCTGCTTTGGGTAGTAGCTTAGGCATTATTTTTTACCAGTGAAGAATGGAATTGGTCTCATATTCTCGAGAAAAGCAACAACTTTATGAATCACCATCCTAATTTTATAAATGTCGATCTCGCTTTCATTTTATCGTGATTCAGATTCAAAAGGAATTTGTGTAACATCAAATATCCTCTTCCTTTTTCATCGGTCAAAAACAATCAAACTGTCATCTGTAATTATATGGATTTCTATTACAGTTACATTTTTTGTCAGTTTACAACATCTAGAATACTATAGGCAGTACCAACTCTATATGAAGGGTGAGGACATACATACATACACTGAGGTTTATGTTTATATCTTACGCGAATGAGCGATTGTCTATGAGATTTGAATTGTTAAACATATTAGATCTGGTCAGAATTTCCTCAGTAGTATGCCCAGTTTGACAACCTGAAATTCCAATTCAGCCTAACGGAATGGGTTGAAACTGACTTTACACGGCAGTGAAGCCTCACTAAAGCTAAGAAAGAATTGCAAAAAGTATCGACTCAAGGTGCTATCC